CTTACCAATTAAGTGAATTGTGGCGTCACTTGTTCCGGAGCCGATCCGTTCCGTGTCCATCGCGTTCTGCAAATGAAACGTGAATGCAATTAAAATAGCGCAAGTGTTTCGTTTCCAGCGCGGTCTATTTCACGCAGCAATAGCGCCACCGTACGCGCTGCGGCGGCGTCGGTGCAACAGTGGCGCGCGGCGACGCCGACGCTACACATTTCAATTTTCGGTGGAACGAGTATTGCGAAATACGCATCCGATCAATCTTGCGTCTAATTAGCGCGTAATATAGATTCGGCATTCGAACTCTGATTCGATCGGATGCGTAATCGCAATATTCGTTCGGCCGAAAATCAAGATGTGTACCGCCTGCGCCGCGACGCTTACTTCGCGTAAGCTGACGGCACGCGAGACGAATTACGCCGCTTCATTATCTTAGTTATAAGTTTATCCATACGTTCGCTATATGTTAACGTACGCCATACTTATGGATAAATGCGTAATTAAGATAATGAAGCGGAGCAATTTGTCCCGCACGCGGTCAGCTTATACGCGAAGCAAGCGTCGCGGCGACGCGGGTCGGCGGCGGTGGCGACGACAAAGGCGCGGCAACGCTACATGTTACACAAATGCAAAGACAAGTCCCACTTACCAATTATATTAGCCGCGACGCTTCTCGTTCCGCAGATCATCTATCTCGTATCGAGTTCTACAATTACAAAAGAAACCACTATTAATATAGTGAAGTGGTTTCGTCCATCCGCGCGGTCAACTCTGCGGCTCGCGAGCCAATAGCGCCACGGTACGCGCTGCGGCGGCGTCGGTGCAACAGCGGCGCGCGGCGACGCGTCGACGAGAGTGGCACGCGGCGACACTACACTCTTGATTTTCGATCGAACGATTAATAAGTATTGCGAAATACGCATCCGATCGAATCAGAGTGCGAGTGCCGAATCTGTATTGTTGAATGCAAGATTGATACGCAATTATCGCTTGTCAATTAAAAAGAGAGTAGCGGCGTCACTCAAGTGATTCGTTTCCGACGCGGTCAATTTCACGGCGCCTTTACGCGTCGAAAGCGACGCGGTGCAGCGGCGCTGATTCGCATTCTTACTCTTAATTTCGTGTTAGGTATACGTTAACGTGGAATATATAATATTTATTACTCGAAATGCAAAAAATGCATAGACACAAAGTTAAAAGTAGAACGCATATATTATAGCGTCGCCGCCAACGCGTTGCCACGCTTGTTTCGCGTGAGCTGACCGCACGCAGGATGAATTGCGCCGCTTTGCCGGCTTCGCTATCTTAATTACGCTATATTAATGTGAAACAAATTCTGAAAAGCATACCATAAATTTATTCCTAGAAGGAATCATTCATATGAATTTAGATGAATTTATTGCTGCGATTCGAGATCGTTAGCTGTACTGAGCAGACTGAGCTACATCGTTCAGCGTCCTTTTTCATGACCGATGACGCAACGGCAAGACGTGACACTACTCACTGCTCCCAAGCTCGATGCGGACTGTCGCGCGCGGCGGCTTACGCGCCGTTTATATAGTACCGTACGTCGCGCATTCTGATTGGCTAGGCGCTAGCTTCCAAGTTGAGTATATAAACGCCGCGCAGCGGCAGCGGACGGCTTTATTA